CAGCAGAGAGGGGGAGGGGGGGGAGGTGGCGCCATTGTAGGTGACGCTGAAGGAGCGTCGGGATAGGTAGGATGAGAACCAGGAGAGAGCGGTATCTCTGATGCCAAGGGAGAGTAGTTTATTAAGGAGGAGGGGGGTGGTCGACTGTGTCGAAGGCCGCAGAGAGGTCCAGGAGAAGGAGGACAGAGTAGTCGCCCTTGGCTTTGGCGTTTAGTAGGTCGTTAGTGATTTTGAGGAGGGCAGTTTCGGTGGAGTGTAGGGGGCGGAAGCCGGACTGTAATGGGTCAAGGAGGTTATTGTCAATAAGGTGGGCGCTTAGGCGATCGTAGACTATGCGCTCAAGGGAGCTTGGAGGTGAGTGGCAGCAGGGAGATGGGTCTGAGGTTGTTGGGGTCAGCGGGATCCAGGGAGGGCTTTTTGAGGATGGGGGTGATATGTGCGTGCTTTAGGGGGGAGGGGAATGCGCCAGTAGAGAGGGAGAGATTGAAGATGTGGGTGAGGGAGCGGATGAGGGAAGAGGGGGGGGGTGACCGGAGGAGTTGAGAGGGGATAGGGTCCAGGGGGCAGGTAGTGAGGCGGGCTTCTGAGAGGACCTTGACGACTTCCTCAGTAGTGACAGGGCTGAGGGAGTGCAGTGCAGGGGGGGTTACGGTGGGCGGGGCCTTGGGAGAGGTGGAGGGCAGTGCGGTTGTGAGGGCAGAGGAGGGGGGAAGAAGAGGTGACGGGGGTGGGGAGGCTAGGTGGGGAGGTAGATTGCGAGTTGACAATGTCCTTACGGATATCGTCAATCTTGTTACGGAAATGGGTGGCAATCTCGTGGGCGGTGAGTGAGGTACTGAGTTGAGGAGGGGGGGGGGGGGGGGAGAGAGCAGGGAGTTGAAGGTGGAGAAGAGTCGGCGAGGGCAGGAGGAGAGGGTGTTAATTAGGTTAACAAAGTAGGCCTGCTTGGCGGCGTGGAGGGAGGAGGTGTAAGTGAGGAAGGCGGATTTGTAGAGGGAGAATGCGTGAGGGGACCTGGTTTTGCGCCACAGTCTCTCCAGTGCGCGACTGCGACGTTTGAGGCGTTTAGTGCTGTCATTCTGCCAGGGTTGGAGCGGTCTGGGTTTGATGATGCGTGTGGTTAGGGGTGCTAGAGAGTCTAGGGCAGTTGATAGTGAGTCGTTGTACAAGGTGGTGACTATGTCAGGACATGATAGTGGGAGGATGCTGTCGTGTAGATGGTCGGCGGCTGAGTGGAGGGGGGCCGGGTTCAGGTTGCGGAGATTGCGGCTGGTGATGGTTTGGCATTTTTGGGGAGGGGAGTTGGGGGAAGGGGAGATGGAGAACGTGATGAGGTGGTGGTCAGAGAGAGGGAAGGGGTTGTTAGAGAACTGGTTGAGGGTACAGAGGTGGGAGAAGACGAGGTCCAGGGTGTTCCCTCCGATGTGGGTGGAGGATTGCATGTGCTGTGTGAGCACGAAGGAGGAGGTTAGGTGGAGGAATTGGGAAGTGGCCGGGTTGTTGTCGTTGATGGGGATATTGAAGTCCCCGAGGATGATGGTCGGTAGCTCAGAGGAGAGGAAGAAAGGGAGCCAGGCGGCAAAGTTGTCCAGGAAGTGGGGTATGGACCCAGGAGGTCTGTAGATCACTGCGATCCTTAGGGGGGTGGGTGAGAAGAGTCGGATGCAGTGCGCCTCAAAGGAGGGGAAGGATAGAGAGGGTGGGTTAGGGAGGACCTGGAAGGTGCTCAGCGGTGAAAGGAGCAAGCCGACACCACCACCTCTGCGATCGTTCAGTCTTGGCGAATGGGTCCAGATTAGACCTCCATGGGTGAGTGCCGCAGGGGAAGTGGAGTCGGTGGACTGTACCCAGGTTTCGGTGACTGCTAGGAGGTTTAGGGAGCGGGAGATGAAGAGGTCATGGATGGCGTAAGCTTGTTGCAAACCGAACGGGCATTCAGGAGTGCAACCAAGAGAGGGGGGATAGGTATGGGGAGGAGGGGTACATGTATGAGGTTGAGGGGGTCGCGTCGGCTGGCGTGAGCAGGGGGGACACTAGGGGGGGGGTGAGGTGGTGAGGGGCCAGGGTTCGGGGAGATGTCCCCAGCTGATATGAGAAGGAGGAGGGTGAGGAAGGTGGCATGGGAACGGGAGGTGTAGGGGCGTGTGGGTCTGGAAGTGGTGGCAAGTGCGTCAGCGGGGAAGTGGAGTAGCAGGAGGAGGTGGTGGGTGCCGTAATGGGGAGAGGGGAGAAGCGAGGGGGCGATATAGAGCTGCTTAGTGGGGGTGGGCGGGTAGAGGGAGGCGGTTTTAGGGATGGAGGAGAGGAGGAGGAGGAGGAGCACGGGCGGCATGTTGGGGTAAGCGGGGTGCTGGAAAGGTCAGGGGGGTGAAGGGGTGCTGGTCAGGGATGGCAAAGCAGAGTGTTCGAAACGCCGTGGGAGGTGAGGGGGTGCAGGTCCGGGATGGTGAAACAGAGCGTCTGTAGCGCTGTGGAGGAGACTATTGAGTTCTTCTGTGAGGGGAGAGTGGAGGGCAGCAGGGATAGCAGCTGGTTGGTAGAAGTCTGCGGGTGAAGTAGGTTGGTGTCCGTGGGTGCGACGGCACGTCATCAGTGGGTGCGGTGGTTCGGTGAGCGGAGGGGTCATAGGGCGCGACGTCTGGGGTGCGGTAGGCGCGGCGTCTGGTGATGCTGGCGGCTCGGAGACCGGAGAAGTTGAGGCCAGGTGTTGAGGGCTCAGCGTCGGGAGGCGCTGAGGGTGCAGAAGGGCCCGACGTCGGGAGGAGTGGAAGGGTCGTCTTCAGGAGGTGGGATGGATCGACATCTGGAGGTGGAGTAGGCTAGACGTTGGCAGCTGTAGTAGGCTCAGCGTCCGTGAACGAAGTGAGCCGGCACAGGCGGATGTTGAGGGCCAGGCGCTGAGGACTCGGCGTCGGGAGGCTCTGATGGTGCTGAAGGGCCCGACATCAGGAGGTGTTGAAGGGACCGGCGTTAGGCAGTGTAGAAGGGCCGTTGGCAGGAGGTGGTGAGGACCGACATCTGGAGGTGGAGTGGGTTAGTCGCAGACGGGCTCAGCGTCCGTGGGTGAGGTGAGCAGCGCAGGTGGATGTTGTGGGCCAGCGACTGGGGGTGCTGGGGGCCCTGCGTCGGTGGGAGCGGTAAGGCCACGTGGTAGGCTTGGCTCCGCCGAATTGGATAGGGTTTGGGCAGTTCAGTAATAGGTGCCCGATAGGGGAGGCTTACCCTCTCGATGCAGGTAGCGGAGGTGCGTCGTCGTCCTGGAAAGGTCCCTGGTCTGGGGCTGGCCGGTGCAGGGCGGCCCGCAGGGTGCTGGGAGGCCTGAAGCAGAAAATGATAAAGCAGTCATACCCCTGCTTTATAAATTTATAAAAAAATAAATCCCTAAGAAGTCCCAGAAGTACTATTAACCACTTGCTAACTGATGTACATATATAAACGTCCTGTCAGCAAGTGGTTATTACAAGATCATGGCTTCAGCCTTGGTCTTGATACCCTTCTTTTCAGCTGGCAAATGCTGATTCTATCGTGTGTGTAAAAAAAAAAAAAAAAAACTTGCACCAGACAGCAAATAGCTAAAAATGAATGACTTTGGCAAAAAAAATGAAGAGAGCCAAGTCGCATAACCTAGTCAGATACGTAAGAGTTCAAACCTAGTCAAATACGTTGTGAAGTTCTTTCTGCCACGTTAAGTATAGAGAGCTCTGTGAAATACTGTGGGATCAACACCACATGCTGTGTTTTTATAAATGTGCTCTAGAATGCAGTCTGTGGGTTTGATCAACATTGTGGTATATAAAGAAGAACAAATAACACCTGCTCTCTGTTATAAATGGAGTCCTAAGTGTTTTTAGTAGGCATGTTTATATGTACAATGATACAGATATAGACAAGTTTAATCTTATCTCCATCATCCCATGTTAACTAATGGTTTCAGAAATCATAGTTACATAGTTAATCTGGCTGAAAAAAAGACAAACGTCCATCAAGTTCAACCATTTAAAAAAAAAAAGTTATAATCCTATACCCACAGTTGGTCCATAGGAAGGCAAAAAGCAAAGCATGATATAATTTGCTCCTGCAGGGAAAAAAAATTCCTTCCTGATCCCCCGAGAGGCAATCTGATATTCCCCGAATCAACTTTACCTATGACGAAACCTTTCCGTGTTTGGAGATTAAATTTGTTTTCCTCCAGACATAAAGAGTGCCCCCTTGTCCTCTGTGATGACCTCAGGGTGAATAACTCTACACCGAGTTCACTATATGAACCACTGATGTATTTATACATGTTGATCATATCCCCCCTTAATCTCCTCTTCTCAAGAGAGAATAAATTCAGTTCCTCTAATCTTTCCTCATATCTGAGCTCCTCCATGCCTCTTATCAGTTTAGTTACCCTTCTCTGTACTTTCTCCATTTCCCCAATGTTCTTTTTGTGAATTGGTGCCCAAAACTGAACTGCATATTCCAGATGAGGTATTACTAATGATTTGTACCGGGGTAATATGATATCTCTCTCTCTGGAGTCTATACCTCTTAATACAAGAGAGGATTTTGCTCGCTTTAGAAACTGCAGCTTGGCATTGCATGCCATTATTAAGCTTGTGATCTACCAGAACCCCCAGATCCTTCTCCACCATTGATTCCCCCAGTTGTACTCCCCCTAGTATGTATGATACATGCATATTCTTAGCCCCCAAGTGCATAACCTTACATTTATCAACATTAAAACTCATTTGCCACATAGTTGCCCAAAATCTTTAGATTAATTACATTTAGGTGTGTGAGCATTTCCTACCATTCTTTATTGAATGTCTCAATATTCATTGAATACTAAGTTTTAATTATAATATGCACATAATAACTAACTATACTCATCTGTTGTCTAAAAAGCTAAAATATAAGGGAAGTAAATATTGAGGGATTTTACTTATAACCCCCATTAACTTTTGTTTTGTAGAATAGCAGCTATATCTATGGCAGCAAAGCTCTCTGAAATGCAACTGGGGGATTCAGTGGATATTGGGAAACTTGTCACCAAAAAAGAAATGAAGCAAACAAGGTAAGGCAATGTGTTTGTCTTATCAATACAAGAAAACCCCAAACATATTTGCAGATAAGGATTTTTCTTTTGCTTTCTTGATCTGTATGCTTGTTCTGGCTCAGAGACTTGAAGTATTGAAGCAAGATACTTAGCATGACAGTCGGGGCACTATAGCATCTTCAAAAGGAGCTGATTGATTCAAAGGGTGCTGACTGATTTTGCATCAGACAAGCAACTACAGTGTGTATGGGCACTGGCACTGTGAGCAGACACTTATAGCAGGCTGATCTCCAGACAAAAAAAAGGCTATTGGACGCTTTGGAATCTCACCGCAAATTGCTGTTCCAAGACAGCGCACTTTGTATATATTAACCCAATTTCAAGTATTAAACTCACAAAAAATTACTGGGCTTTTCTCTGGACATTGATAGCTTGAAGATTACTAGGTTAGACATAGAAAGTGCATTGAGCAGAACCTGATCAAAGAACAGACGAGAAAGGAAAATGGAACCATCACCACACACTTTGGTCAGGTTCTGTGCACATAGCATCAGTTCTAGTCATTTTCCAGTTATCTTTGTCCAGGGAATAGTCCACTGTGGTTTGTATGAGATTTCCAATTGTATTACGTGTCCATACTTGCCACAGACCAGGGAAGCCACTGAAGGATTTGATCAGCAAGGCATGTGACTTAAATGTAACTATGAGCATAACAAAAATGCATGTGTGAGACAGTCTGTCACTAGCACTAACACAGCAGTTTTTATTTTCTGCGTTTACTCTGTAGCATAGCCTAATTACCTGTCGATTCTGCCATTACGCCCATTTTGTTTCCACTTCCCGTTTTAACTTTAGTGTAATCAACTTTATTTCCCTGTCCCATGCCATGCAAGCCGCTAGATGCTGGAGAAATAGTAACTGCAGGGTGTCCCCTCCTCTTCCTGTCTCTGATATTCTAGCACACAAGGGGTGTTTAGAGCTTTGGGCTCTGATCTGAGCTGCTGTGAAAAGTTGTGTCAGGGACTCTCCTCCCCCCATCATTGAGAAGTTGTTTCATTGCTTGCACTGCAAGTGACACCATTTTATAAATGGTGGAGAGTATGAGAAGTCATAGGATTCTTTTCCTCATTCACATATTGTGTTACAAGCAATGAAAGAACCTTTCTCAATGGGGGAATTAGGGGTGGGTTCCAGGCACAACTTTTTTTTTTTTGCAGCGGTTCAGCCCAGAGCCCAAAGTTAGTCTTGCATTTCAGGAGGTCAGAGACTAGGACAGCGCATGCATCCCTGCAGTGAAGGTCAGACTTAAAGAAGTGTAAAAATTAGTTATCCTGAAAGGATCAGCAGGGCAATAAAACTATATTCTATAAATGAACTAAGAAAAATCATGAACAGCTTTGTGAATGTTCGTGAAGGGCTGCGTCTTATATGTAGTTTTTGAATATGGCCATAGTTACTTTAATCACAAACATGTAAGAGAGTCATATTACTTCACTAGATTTGTAGTTCCTGACCATGTTAAGTGGAATTATGTTTTTTAGAAGAGATTCAACCTTCTTTTTAACTTGCATAATATGACATATATTAGTAGGAAGCAATGCGATGCCTCCAACTATTGTATAAAACAGGTCTGTATAGTACATCATGTCCTGAAAACCCCCTTTATAATAACAGGTCTTCTGAATTTAATCACCATCTTTTCTGTAGCACTCACATGTTCAGAAGTTTAACCGTGATTATCTTTTGAAGTGCTACTGATGTTCTCATTACACAAATTCCCATGTCATATTTGCCTGTGTTCTTTGCAAAAACAATGTGAGTGGGTGGTTGCCTTTTTAATTTTATGTTTCAAGGCTAGAAGTACCAATTTTATTTTGATTATCACAGCAATCTGCAAAAACATTATTCAGCAGCCACAGTTATAGGCTAATTGTGAAAGGTCAGAACAAGTAGGCGATTTAAGTAACATGAGCAGTGGAAAAAATGTTGGCTACTTGGCCTTGTAAATGAGTACCCTTCTGCACTTCTGCAGCTTGCTTCACACTGACTGGCTTTTGTTTTGCACTGATTACAGGTTGCAGTGTGATGAAGAGTGTTTGGCTTTGGAAAGAAACAGGTAAGCACATACGCATTTGCATTTCTTTGGAGTGATTAGTGTGTTTTATGTAGACTTTGTAAGAAAAGCTGTACTTACTCTCTGACGTAGTTAACTGACATCCTGTATGATTGCAGCCTTTCTAAAGAGTGTGTATTTATAGAACTTGACTGTTTTACTAGTAAATGCCATGGCCATAGTAAATGCTAACACAACCTGGTCATCTTTGATTGAAAAGGTAATAGAATGAAAATTCACTTCTGATGGGAACCCCCTCTCAGTCCAGTTCAGCACATTCCCCTTGTATACAATAGCTGGTCCCTAATTCTAATGGTTTACAAAATATGACTGATACGGCCAGTCATTTGATTGCTGACTTATATGACATAAAACATACTCTGTGTACCATCCCTAATTTTAATAAAGATCAAATACCCCTCAACTTATCAGGCATCCAGATGGGGTGAGGTTGAACAAAAATGAGACTTGTACCTCATAGTGATTTTATGGAGCTTTTTGTCTCTAATAGTTTATTACTAAATATAAGATACATTCCACACAGGTAAAGTGTGACCAACAGTTGATGTACACTGAAAACAGGCATAAATTACACCATTTAAACATAGTCAATAAATGGTCTCTTAGATCAACACATTTCACAATCTATTTGCTTCTTCAGGACCAACGCTAAGACAAGATGGTCCACTCTACAAAATAAATAATATAAATACATCAATATACAAAAATATTAGACACCAGCATTCTCTGGGTATTCCTTTTGGTTCGTTACCTGAAAGACTTGCTTCTGAGGAAACTATATGCTATGCTTTTGGAGATTGACATGAATCGAATGGTGCAAGGTATAGATGGATCCTGAATTTTCAAAAGTCAGCCTGTATGCCAATCCAGAGGTTGGAATATTTAGGACTGATTTTGAACACGGTCAAATGGAGAGTATTCATTCCCCAGGACAAATGTCTTGCTGTGAAAACCCAGTTGGAGTTGCTTCCAACTCTTCAAGACTCCTTAATCTATCTTTGTATGAATGTTCTGGGAAAGATGATGGCTTCCTTCAAGGTGGTTCCCTTTCCAGGTTTGATCAACTGAATGTTTTGTTGACATGGGACAAGAGAATTCAGTCATCAGTCTTGTCCTGGGGTGCAAGTGCATCAGAGAGTCCATCTCTGTACTGGTGGATTTCTTTGAGAATGCTGGAAATGGGAAAATTGTTCTTTCTTGGATGGTCCTGGCTATGGACACCAGCCTGGTAGGATTAGGCAAAGTTTTACACAATCTCTTGGTCTAGGAAACTTGGTCACCACAGGAGAAACCGTTGCCTATCAACCTCCTAGTTTTGAGGGCAGTTTGACTTGCCGTACTGCATTTGTCCATTCAACTGAAGGGTCTGTCTGTAAGGGCTCAGTCGGGCAACACCATGGCAGTGGCATTCAAAAACCATCAAGGAGGCACCAGGAGTCAAGCTGTTCAGGAAGAGATGAATCTTATCCTGTCTTGGGTGGAACTTCATGTTTCTACCCTAAATGCTGTCCACATTTTCAGTAAGGAGAATTGGTAGCCATATTTCTCTGTTTTGTCAGCAGCTTTCTCGGGGGAAGTGGGCTCTTCACCCAGAGGTGTTCAGGGAACTCTGTTGAAGATGGGGGAACTACAGATGTGGATCTTCTGGCATCCAGGCTCAATATGATAATCACTGGCTGACACATTTGTTAAGAAAGCTAATCCCTGCCACTGCCGGTCTACCCAAAAGGGGAATTAAGCCCTTGTGAGTTTTGAGCTGTGATGAAGGGGGGGGGGGGGGGGGGGGGGGGGGGGGGGGGGGGGGGGGGGGGGGGGGGGGGGGGGGAAATGTACATTATAGGAAACTGAAGAATAAACATACAGTATCTCCTTTTTATTGGGTGGATACCCGTACTAACACCTCTGTCAATCAAGGAAGAAAGCAACCTCTTATTGTTTGCAGTAGGATCCCCTCTTAACCTCACGTAGGTGGGGATGTCAGACAACTGATGAACAGCCTCAGTCCTATACGCATCAGCATCAAGAACCACCCTTATGTGAAATCTTAAAGTGGTAGTAAAGGCTCAAGGTTTTTTACCTTCATACATTCTATGCATGAAGGTAAAAAACCTTCTGTGCAGCAGTTCCCCCAGCTTCCTTAATACTTAGCTGAGCCCCATCCAGATCCAGCGATGTGCACGGCAGCCTCGGCTGTCCTGCGTCTCTACCTCCTCATTGGCCGAGACAGTAAGAGGGAGCCACCGTACAGAGCAGGTAAGTATAGACATGTTTGTTATTTTACAAAACAAAAACAACTTTAGAATCACTTTAATGATTTATGGAGGAGTGTGCATGCAAGCATTTAAAAGCCTCTTTTCTTGTAAATTTAGGCCTCATGCACACTTAACGTTTTTAATGCCTTTTTCCTGCCTCAAATATCCCCTGCATGTTAGCCTATGTGTCCATGCACACAAAATTTTAGAAGCCTTTAGTGGTAGAAGAGTTTAGAAGCAGGGAAAAAAAAGACCTCTCTGCCAGGGTGTCTAGGAGCCAGCAGCATTTTTTGCAGCAAAAACTTTTAATGCGTGAAAACATGTCTAAACACACGTTAATGCTAGGCGTGTCTAGTGCTTGAGCGTTCAATTCAGTGGCTGAAATAAATTATTTATTCTGGCCAATGAAATTACTTCACACCCAAACGCTTGAAGCTGATAAACATGGCTAAATGTATTACACACTTTTACAAGCATTTTTTTTTTTTTTTTTTTTTTTTTATAAAATGCTGCTGTCAGATGGAAGGCTTCTAGGAGAGTTCTGGAAACGTCCCGTGTGCATGAGGCCTTAAATTGTCACATTCAGTATAGTCCCTGGATGAGACTTGTGAAGTTAGTGAGATCCTACTCGACATGTTTCTGGAATTGGTCGGTTTTCTTTCCCTCTTCAATTACAAGGTAGAAATATGATCTTAATTTAAAGGGAATACAAAATTTATAATGAACTCCCTTTTCATGACCTCATAGGTCAAGTCTTCCAGGTCACATGTGGTGTTGATCACGAAAAACACATCCCATTGGGATACTTACCACTAAAGCTCAATAGTTGCCTTATCTGTGATGTCTTTCAGTGTGATGCTGTGAGCAAATTTGTTAACGTCAAGTATGATGTCAAAGGTTAAAGTGCCTAATCGGACAAAAGTTCAAACCTTTAGGTGACTGTAAAGAAGTCGTTAAATGTGTAAATGTCTTTTAGAAGGAATAAGAACATTATCTACTACTTCTGTGTCTGTCCCCTCAGTGCATATCGATCCCTTCCATTTGTTTTTTTTCCTCCACAACTTGTTTTCTTGAATCCAATTTTCCTTTTTTTTTTTTTCTTTGTGGACTTGTTTATTTGAGTTTGAACAAGGCATTGTTTGTAATCGCTCTGACCCCAAAGATCTATGACTAAACTCAGGCAATGAATCCGTTGTGGATACAGCTAATGTATAATCCAAGGTTTCACATTCAGTATCAGAAAAGCTGACACTTATTTTTTATTTTTTTTATCTGGTATGACCAGAAGAAAACTGATATAGTTTCTTCCATGTATACACACTATTATACAACTTGTCTTGCAATAGTTTTTTCTGTTTTGTCAGCAGTGATGTTTCTCCCTTTTTACCTGATTTATCATTTAGTGTAATTTCTCCATCTCTTGAGTTTTAGCGCAAATAATAATATGCATGAGATCGAAGGAGCAGGCAGAAAGAGTATCTGTCCATTCCTTCTAACAAAAAACTTTGGCAAACAATTTGAACCTGGGGAACTTTTTTTTTTTTGGTTTACAAACGGTTTTATTTTGCAAAAGTAAACTGTAAAACAACGGTACATTTTCAAATGATTCTCACAGCAAAAACAAAGCACTTTTGAAAGATGCAATGCAGAAAAGTATATTAACATAAAAAAGAGAGGAAATAGAAAAGAATAGATTGCAAGTACATGAAATATGTAGACAATAAAGTAGGCTGAATGATACACCTGTCAACAGTATATGCCAGTCAACCTTCACTTGGAATGTTGTTAATCATGCAATAATGTCTACAATCCCTCCATGATTCCCATTTTTTATCAAATAAGTGCATCCCATCCAGTAAAGTATAATGAATTTGTTCCATGAGCATCACGGCATCAACCCTGTGTAAAACTGAGGCCAAGGGTACAGCATTGGACTTCCAGTGTAAGGCAATAGCCCATAAGGTGGCAATACAAATAGTATGTGTCAGTCTCATAGTGGCAACTCTTAAACCCCTAGGAAATGCATTCAAGGGAAAAATACTCAGTGAACATATTCATGTCCCAATAAGCTTTAATTTCTTTAACTATGAAGTGCTCCAACTTACGGAACAAAAGTTTTAAACAACCCACACTAACATCCACAGCTTTATGTCACTTTTTGCATGACTCAAGTCTTTAAAGATTGCACTTTAGTCCACAAGCTTGTGCTGAACCGTCCCTCCACTACACTGGATGTTACCTGAGAATTATCCATTCGATACCTCTAGTAACATTGCCAAAACATCACTTATTTTTACAAATGAACAGAAGTTGCTCTGATTGTCCAGCTTGCCTCCAATCCTGCTTTCCTCCTTTCTGTTGTTTTTATGCTTTTAGATGTTTGTTTTTTTGTGGGGTTTTTTTTTTTTTTTTTTTTTGTTTTTTTCTGTAAACTCATTTTGACGTTTATTAGAGACCAATTTACCTGTCAGTTATGTTCAGCTGATTGTGTCAGTCAAATCCTTGTCTACCAAAACTTATCTATTGATCTGTGAGCAGCAGAACACTAATCTAGAGGTGTTTACTGAAAAATATTTTGTATTTAATTTGTAACTTTTCAGACGTCTGGCAGAGGCCCTGAATATAACTGAAAATTCAGATCCCTTTAATACTCGTTCTGCAACAAAGTACAGTGACAGCTTGAAAGACGATGCCAGGTTTGTAAATGTCCATCCAATGTTTTCCTCCTGATGGTAGGCATGAGATTGCATCCATATCTAATAAGTAGCTCCCTATCTTTCACTGTAACTAAATATGAACTAAACTTTAAAGAAAAATTACTATAAAAATTAAAGGTTTTTGTATTCTCTTATAGCAGATGTGTTTAATTTTTTACGTATGCTCTATTAACAAATTTGTGTCACCATGCACCTACAATAATGCATGGTTTTGCCCACCCTGCTTTAAGATCATTTGGAGTTTATGAAAGATGTGCTGTGCCATATCTAGCTCCACCATGGACTGCTATGCCAGTGGCTACAGGCAGTTCATATATCAAAGGTTTTAAATGCTCTTGTAATGCTGTAACCACTTCATGGTTGGAGTTTTCTATATCTTCGTGGCCACGGTTATTCTGGTTAGGCCTTATGCACATAGGCTTTAACTTGCATAAGAGCAGCTTGTAGAATTTCCAGAGCTTTTAACAAGCTTCATGTAGATTTGGTAAAGCTTTTAAGCATCCTTCTGCTCCAGGTTGGGATAATAAACTCAGATCATAATGGGATTTCTTACTGTCACGTTATATAAACTGCTTGCAGGCTTCAGTATATTTCAATACCCTTTGAAACTTGTTGGAAGCTTACTGATGTGTGCTATCAGCTGTTAAAAGTGACAGTCAGCACTTCTGTTAAGGTGTTTAGCTAGTAGGCTACTGGATATGATACATATGCTCAAAAAAACGTCTTAATAGTGCACAAGGGTGTGTGTAGTGCATTCAATCCCTCAGTCCTGCTTCCACAGCCTCTGCGGAGATGGGTTTTCTCTCATTAATCTCCAAAGGCTGAACTTAAGGAATCTCCCCTGCTAGCTATTGCATTCTGATAGCTGGTACGTGCAGCTGTAAGAATACCTGAACAATAGTTGCATCAGATTGAAGGATGTTGGCTCGGAAGGTGCCAAAAGAAGCACCCCTCACTCCAGTTTCAGCTGGTTTATAAGAGGCCAGCTTTAATGTGCTGCAAATGAGGTGATTTGCTGATAGATGCCATCTTTGTAGCCCTAGTTTTAACCTCCTCGGCGGTATGATTCTTTCCGATTTTTTTTGTGCTGAAAGCGGTACCATTTTTTTGCATGAAAATATGTAGTTTTTTTATTGTAGGCTGTAATTTTTAGGAATAACTCACTGAAATCTGTACGAACAAGAGTCTATTAAACATTCCATATATGATAAAATTTGAAACGCGAAATCATAAATTATAATTTAATAAATAATCATAAAAAATAATAATATAATAATTTTAATTCAATAATATAATCAAACCAAAAACACTGAAATTTGAAATACAGAGGCAAATTCGCACATCGCTGAGCAAAGTCACAAAATCGTTTTCAGTGTCTGATGACGAATTTCCCCACAAATCATCACTCAATTCTGCAAGTGGTTCTGATTTACTATCGCTGTTCTAAAACCGCTTTTGACATAAAGGGACGCTTTTTGGACGCCATGGACTTTTCTAAGTTTCCAGGCAGAAAGAACATTCAAAATGCAGGCAGGGCACAGGACAAAGCAGTAGGGACAAAATATATGTGAAATGCATTGAAACAGCAATGACAGCAAAAATGAAATTTTTTAAAAATTTCAAATTTCCCGCTGGTTCCGGCGCCCGCACGTCCCGACGTCACAGGGACCGGAACACAGAAGCCAGATGTCGGCATCGGCCGGAGGAGATGGCCGGGGACGCTGCAGGGGACACATCGCGGGAGCGAAGGACAAGGTAAGTGCTGCAGGGACCCCCAGAGCAACGCCGCATGGTAAGCCCGAGTGTAGCTCGGGGTTACCGCTCTTGGTATAGCTACACTCGGGAATACCGCTAAGGAGGTTAATGTTACCATTCTTGGCGGGTCTTGGCAAATATAAAAGGCAAGATATGCTTGACCGTGTTTACTGGCATTGGAATCCATTGAAATTGAACATTCATTTCCTTTCATAATGCGAGAAGGTCTGTTTCATCTTGGAGTTTATCTAATATTTGTGGCCTTTGTGGTAGAAATGTGCTTTAGTTATATTTGCTTTATTTATACACAAATATGCAGCTTTTTTTTTGCCCGTTTAACTGTTTGATAATCTTCTAATCTACAGAAAAGATCTGAAGTTTGTTTCTGAGATCGAGAGGGAAATAAAAGCACTCGTGGATGCTGTAAACAAGGTTTGTTTAACTGCAATTGGATACCGTTCACCGTTTTTGGTTCTGAAATGGCTTGATATTCAAACTGAACTTACATGTGCCCTTTTGCAGCATGTTTTTTAGCTATTATTTCAATTGCTTTTCAGGGAAAGCAAACCAAAAAAAGTCATTGTTTCCCCCCAATGAACAGAGACCATCGTAAGATTATCCATGACCTAGCAGAGGTTTATGGAGTTGAGAGTGTGAGCTATGACAGCGAACCCAAGCGCAATGTTGTCATCACTGCTGTAAAGTAAGTCTACATACATTATTAAATGTAATTCTGTTTATAATGAGATTGAGTTCGGACAGACTGCTTTAGCTGTTTTTCCTTTTGATATTTTGAGCTTTGGCGATAATAAGTACACAGAGGTTGATTTTTATGAACAACCGATGTTTTACAACACTGATTTGTCAGATGATTGTCAATGGTAGTGACCACCAGCTGGAAGTTGCTATGCTCAGCTCTGTTACCTTTACTGTGACCATGTCTGTTAAGCTGCCCACTGATGCAATAGGAATCTTTCTATGAGTACATAGTGGTGCAAAAATACATACTCACATTGGGCAAATGTGTTTGCTTGTGTCTGTGGAGAGATTAGGAAACCACTGAGCGCACATAGCCAGTAGTAGTCTGTAGTACAAACTGGTCTGGAAAAGCTCCAGTACAGCCAATCAATTCTCTTTCAAGAAAATGTTAGGCAGAAAATATATTTATTCTCAAAAGTAGGAACTACAGACATTCAAAAATGTCCTGCACTGGATCAGACAAAGGCCTGTGGTCAGGATAAGTAGCAGCCTGGTCTCTGCAGCTTTATAGTACAAATGCATGCAAGACACTTGCATACTGGTGGTTACATTTTCATGAACTTTAAAGGCTTGAGCTGAGGGAACTGAACTTCCCTAATAAACAAATGGGTTAGATGGGTGTCCTGATTCAACAGTTGGCAATATTTAGTATTTGTAAGGAACCCTCACACTGCTTGGAGGTAGCACAGGCTTTTCAGAACAAAGCTTACAAAACAGGATTCTTAAAAGATAATTAAAATTAATTCCACCTTTTAGACCAGTGGTTCTCAACCTGTGGGTCGCGACCCCTTTGGGGGTCGAATGACCCTTTCACAGGGGTCGCCTAAGACCATCAGAAAATACATATTTCCGATGTGTAAAGAGCAGCTACTGTGTAGAAAGCAGCTGCTGTGTTGAAAGCAGCTACTCTGTTAAAAGCAGCTACTGTGTTGAAAGCAGCTACTGTGCTGAAAGCAGCAGTATTGGAGGTAAAACGACACTCATGAATTATAATTACTGGGTAAATAATTTTATGGTTGGGGGTCACCACAACATGAGGAACTGTATTAAAGGGTCCCGGCATTAGGAAGGTTGAGAACCACTGTTTTAGACCATGTTTCATGTTATACCCATACTTAGGGTGGAACATGGTTGCAAGCAGACTACCCCCAAATGACTCCCATTAATGATAGCTTGCTGGTCCTTTTCTCGGTGTGGCAGCTGTCACTATGTCTGCACAGCCTGGCCATTCATTCAGAGTTGTGAATGAATTACCTACAAGTCATGTCTGCCACCATGGCAGACAGACTTGTAGTTCTCAATGGAACACAGACACGGTGATCACCACACTTGTAGTCCATTGACATTTCCTCTCTCTTCTGCTCTCTATCTGATGTTTGTACCTCGGTATGGCTGGAGGAAGAGTTTGCAGGAGCCTGTGCATTGCAGCTACAATCCACTGATTGCAGTTGCAATGCTTTGCTGGCTCAGTTGCAAAAAAAAATACAGACTTTTTTTTTTGCTGCAAATATGGGTGCATTTATAATTTTTTGTGCAAAGGGTGAACTTAGCCTTTAACCGCTTCCCAACCACCATATATATATAATATATATATATATATACACACTGCTATAGGACGGCACGGGTGCGCAAAATCACGTGTATCTATACTTGATTTAGCATTTCTGCACACCCTACCCATGCCACCATTCGCGGCCACGGCTGTCAATCACCGGGTCATGGTGATTCACAAGCATCTCAGATGGGAAGAACTGTATGTAAACAATACAGTTCTCCTTGTCAGCTCATGCACACTGCTTTGGATGGAGTGAAGCACACGGACACAGCACAGAGTAAAACGCCACACATGTTCACCCACATGTTAACCCCTTCCTGCCCAGTGCCATTAGTAGAGTGTCAGTGCTTTTTTTTTTTTTTTTTTTTTTTTAGCACTGATCACTGTATTGGTGTCACTGGGGATGTCAGTGACACCAAGTCAGTTCCCCCCAGTGTCAGAATGCCCGCCGCAGTCCCGCTATAATTCGCTGATCGCCGCCATTACTAGTTAAAAATAAAAAAAATTTGAAAAAAAATAAAAAAATCCCAGTATATATTCTGCCATTTGTTACTTTTATGTAAACCAATTAATTTACACGTATTGGGATTTTTTTTTTTTTTTAGCAAAGAATACATTTTGGCCTAAATTTTTGACGAAATGTAATTTTGTTCAAATTTTTTTACTGGCCATGTCTAATAGCAAAAAGTCAGAAATATAATTTTTTTCTTTCTCAATTGTTGGTCATTATTTTTTTTTTTTTTTTATAGCGCAAAAAATAACCGCACAGGCAATCAAATACCACTGAAAGAAAGCTCAATTTGTGGGAAAAAAAGGATGTAAATTTCATTTATTGCAGCAGTGCATGACCACGGAATTGTCTGTTAAAGTAACACAGCGCTGTAATGCAAAAAATGGCCTGGCCTGGAAGGGGGGGTAAATCCTCAGGAGGGCAAGTGGTTAAAATAGACATAGCAAATATAAACATGAGCAAGCAGGGTAATAAATCACAAGCCGCACATCCCACTGTGATGATCTGCAACCTCCCTACCACAGTTTAAGCATTTTAACCTTTCAAAATTAATATTTCATAACGTTCGCCCTATGCAATGCAATCTGTGTGTTGTTCAGATTGACCAACAAAAATGTAGTACCTAAACAGTCATTCAGTTTATAGCCAACAATGCTGTTGTGTACTCTGTGCAGCTGGTAAACCTATAGGAGGTTGTAAAATTAGATTGTGTTTGTGTGTATGCATGTAACTTTTTAAATAGTTTGTTTGGGCCATGCTGGCCCAAATGAACCATTTCCATTATACACTGGTATGGCTACTGGGTGGGCAGCTTTGCCAAAAATTCTACAAGAGCAGGTGCTACAAATTATCTTCGTTTCCCCAAAAGTCCTCCTATTTGATTTAGGGCTTTTTCAGGTCCCATATTTTTGCAGCAACATGTCACTCATATTTAGAAAGCCCCACAATGGAATGCAGTAGAGGTTTATAACCAGCTAAGGGCTGCAACACCAAATCCACCAACTCCCCATGTATGCTGAGCCAGCAAAAGTTTGCTTTAACTACTTCCCGACCGGCCGTTGTATATAAACGGCCGGACGGTGGCACTGCAGGGTCGGGTGGCCGTCTATAAACGGCCTCCCCGCACCCTGCTTGTGCGCGCTCCCTGGGAGTGCGCAGCACCGCGATCCGGTGCCCGCTGTGTCCTCCGGACACAGTGAAACACCGATTGTCGGACGGGACCTCTGTACGAGGTCCCGATCATGTGATCACTGATTGGCGAATCAGTGATCACATGCAAAGTAGTAAGCAAGATGTCACTTGTGACATCATTGCTTACTATGTGTGAAATCTGTGAATGATCACAGAGGTCACATGGTACAAGGCTATTCACAAAAGCCTTGTACTATGTGACAAGCTGTGACCAATCACAGCTCACTCTGTATTTCTCAATGAGTGCAGGAATGCACACAGAGAGAAAGAGAAATGATTGCTTTTACATCCTATATGGGTGTAAAAGCAATCAGTGTAAAAAAAAAAAAAAAAAAAATCTTTATCACCCCCCACAAGTGGTACAGTGTCACCATGGTGACACTGTACTGCTAAGGTGACAGTATGTAAAAAAAAAAAAAATATAAAAAAAAAAATAAAAATGTAAAAAAATTGTTTAAAAATTATAATTTTTGCTTATAAACTAATTTGTTTTTTTTGTTTTTTTACTAAAAAAATAACGGAATAAATTTTGGCTAAGATTTATGATGAAATATTATTTATTTGCAAAATTTTATAAAAAAAACACTTTTTTAAAAAATTTTTTGACATTTCATTTACATAGCAAAAAAAATACAAATCCCAGTGGTGAATAAATACCACCAAAATAAAGCTTTATCTATCTAAAAAAAATGGTAAAATATTCATTTGGGTACAGTGTTGCATGACCGTGCAATTGTCATTCAAAGTGTGATAGCGCTAAAAGCTGAAAATTGCCCTGGTCAGGAAGGGGGTAAAAGTGTCCGGACTGGAAGTGGTTAACTACAAAAGAGATCTTAGAAATATTAAGGAACAAAACTCCGGAATGGCTGGAAACAGACTTGTGTTCGTTTTGCCATTTTGTGTCATGTTCGCATATATGTAAGATTATACAGACAGGTAAATCTGAAAGGTGCCCCCAATTTGGCCAATGTTTTTTTTTGAATAATTAGTCTATGGCTACATTAGTAAAGTAGAATTATAATAAACCTTTTTTGTAAGGGAAGAATTTAGAGCTTCTCACAGTGTGCATTAGAGGCTGAAGCAATTCAAAGCCCACATCCAGCATATGTGAACTAAATTTTAGTTTTACTTGTTAAAGTAAAAGAAAAATCTGCTGATGGAGTATAAACTACAGCAAATTAGAACTGCCTGCATGTACCTACCCACGTATTTCCCTTCCTCCGCTCTACTCATATGCCAGACCATTTTGATTGGTGACAACTGTGGCACTTTCTAGTGGTATTGAAGCTTGTCTGCCCCCTTTTTGCATCCCACGCATTTCCATTGACCAGGATGTGTGAGTGGGAGTAATGAAAGCTGCGACAGGCATGTGCAGTCACCTTAAGGTGAAGAAGACTTGTTGGCTCGTGTTTTTATTTATTGTGTATTTCCAACTTCTCCTTTTTTTTTTTTTTTTTTTTTTTTTTTTTTTTAATTATAGAGGAAAATCAGCATGCCCAAATATCTCCCTCATGACTGTATTGGAAAGAGAAATCCAGGCCAAACCACCTCCGCCTATTGCTCACTACAGACATCTGCCTGACAGGTAAGAAATCGACAGGGCAAACTACTGGCTTTGGGTCAGTTTTTTTACTGTAGCATGTTACATTATGTAACGGTTTCACCAGCTTACCAAAAAAAAAGAAAAAAAAAAAAGACTTCAGTAATGTAGTTCTTCCATTAGTATGATTTACACACTTTTACTACGCCACATTGCTACACTACAGTTGATGGGTTTTTTTTTTTTTCCCAGTTTGCAGCTTTCTGTGACATTTTACTACCTAGCAATGAATTGATATCCCAATCCTGTGCCTATAGGCACCAGAGTTTGACTACACTAATGATTGCACTTTTACTGACTTTGTCGGACACGCCCCCCTTTTACCTGTATTAAGAGTGTGGCAGTGGGTATGCCAGCATTTGCACTAAACAAAAAATGTATCTTAACCACCTCCTGCCCGCTGTATAAGGAAGTGATGGGTGGCGGTGGTTCTCTTGTTCTGGAAGGACGTCATATGTCGTCCTCTCACTCTAACTGTGCATGCACGGCCATCGGTGGTGCGCTGCTGTGTCCCTGGAACACAGTGGATCACCGATCAGAGTAAAGAGCTGATGTCGGCTCTGTCATATGATCAGCTGTGTTCAACCACAGCTGATTGCATGTAAACAAGGAAATGCCGGTTATCGGCAGTCCTCTCCTCACGCTGACCGTGCGTGAGGAGAGGGGAGCCGGTAATCGGCATTCCTCAGAGAGGACATCTACACCGATCATCGGGGCACTAATGATCAGTGTAGCCCCTTCAGTGCCACCTGTCTGTGCCCATGAATAGTACATACCAGTGCACATCAATGCCACATATCAGTGCCTACCAGTGCCCATCAGAGCTGCCTTTTAGTGCCGCCTATCCGTGTTGCCCATCAGTGCTACCTAACAGTGCCCGTCAGTGCCATATGAGTGCTGCCTTTCAGTGCCCATCAGTGCTGCCTGTCAGTGACCACAAGTGATGCCTGTCAATGCCCATCAGTACCACCTAGCAGTGCCGCCTATCAGTGCCCATCACTGCAGCCTCATTAGCGCACATCAGTGAAGGAGAAAAATTACTTATTTACTAAATTTTATAACAGAAACTAAGAAGAAAAAATTTTTTTTTCCCGAATTTTCAGTCTTTTTTAGTTTGTTTAGCAAACAATAAAAAAACCAGTGGTGATTAAATACCACCAAAACTAAGCTCTATCTGTCTCAAAAAAAACTTTGGGTGCAGTGTTGCATGACCGTGTAATTGTCATTCAAAGGACGACCCCTGCAAAGTGGTCTAGGCAGGGAGGGGGTAAAGCTGCCTGATAGGCAAGTGACTAAAGTGATCCTAAACACACACTGTTTAATTTACATTATCCCTCCTCTTTCTGTATGTAGATGATGGCACTATAATTATTTTAATAAAAGAAAAACACCCAAGTAACTCTTTTCAAAATCCATATACAGCTCGTATTATATGACCCAGCTCTTTCCCACCCCAACTTCAGAAAAATATCTGTGGGAAGAGCATGTTTAAAAAAAAAAAAAAAAAAACTTTTGAACTCAGATTTTTATTAAGAACCAGTAAACACAAATGCTCCTGCGCTTGGGGATGGACTCGATGCTACAACCACATTAAGAATGTCCTGGAACATGCACACCTTGCTGCCCTCAAATAGACCGGGGAAATCCAAATATACCGAATGAGGAAAGAACAAACAGAGGGCGCACAGGCCTAGTGCATTACCATACAAAATGTTTAATAAGAAATAAAGTAGGTGTTGTACTCACAAACGACAATATTGTCAAGGCACATCATAAAAGAACAGCTGGGTCAACACCGCGCTGAGTAACAGCCCACAATAGGGAGTGTAGACATCCAATAGGCTGACTCGTTTCGTGGACTTGCCTCTTCCTCAGAGCTCTGAGGAGGAGGGAGGCAGTGGGCTGTCATTTATCTTTGTATACACCCACATGAGTGATTCTATATTCACATGGGCTGCACAGTGAGGGCAAAGACAAGGAGGGAGGGACAGTGAACAGCAGCATCACCAGCATTTTTGCAGTCTACAGAAATCGAATCCTATAGTGACCGAGTATGAATAGCATGTACTTGACAGTATTTAATGATGTGATGGAGTTAATGACACTTTATGGATTTTTGGAGTGAAAAACTGTTAAAATTGTAACATAGAGCGATAAAAGAATTTAAAGCTGAAATAAAACTAATGGCACCACCTGCCTGGCTGTGCAGTGTAGATCGAGGGATCATTACATTTCCTGTTAAAGATGAAAATGTTCATAAATGTGTTTTATTTTTTGTAATACATTGCTTTTCTGGGGTTATATTTCAAGTGCTCATGGGAGTCTAGTATAGACATCACAAAAAGGATCCTAACTAATGTGAAGTGAATTGAGGACATGGAGGTAGGAACTAGTAAGAAGAAAGATCAGAAATGTACCATAAGTAATGGAAACTAAGAAACATGGAAGGTGAGCTCCTACTGGTTATCTGGTAGCCAGTGATATCAATATATTGTGAATCATTGGCTTGTGACAAGCATTTAGATCAGGAAAGTCAGAATGAAGTCAGAACTAATCCAGCCAACAGTGACAGCCTCCATTATTCCACAATACAGGTTTCCTTTAAGCCAGAGGACTGGATGGTGTAACCATCAGGAGGAAGATCCTCGTTTTATAAATATTTAATACCTGAATCAAAATTTCCAGAGCAGTATGGCTCATCTAAAGAGAGCACAGCAGACTCCTTTTCTGCCTGGAAACTTTTTTTTTTTTTTTAACTTCACATAGAGCCATTTAATGAAGGACAATTCACTGCAGTGAATTGCTGCTTTAACATATTCTTTTCATTTACTGTGAACAAAATTTTATAATAAAGATGCAAACATAAATGTTGGCTCAAAAGAAATATCTGAAAGGAGAAAAGAGAAATCATTTTTAAAACTTTTTTTTTTTGTCCTGACCACATGAAAGAAGAAACCAATGTACAAAAACACTATATGTGTCTTTGAAAGTAGACTGTTGCCATTCTCTGATGAATAGATCTAGATGAACGAGGGACTAGAATCTAAATTTCTAGTAACCAATAAAATTAATTTCTGATACAACATGCCAATCATTACATAGGAGCAGAGGACTTCTATCTCCAAATAATCTACTGATATCAACATTGTCTCCCCTTAACACTGACTCCCAACTCTTCTAGAAGGACTGTAGTGGGAATGGGACAGATTGGGCACCTTTTATCAAAATGTTCTCATCTCCTTTGAAAAATCTGTGTCAAAGGTTATATTTATGTGGTAGAGATTCGGACATTTACTTCCTCTCAGGCATTCCTTTCTCTGACCTTATCATTTCACCACAAGCCGTACACTTTTTCAACTATCTTTCAACAATGTTGAAGTGGGAAGAGGATTTTGGTCTGGCCAACTCAGAGGACCAATAGGGGACTGCCTGCAAATGGCCCCTTAAAAAACATCACACTGCACTGCCCATTTAGAATAGGCATATAGACTATCCTTCAATAATATTTTTACTCCCATTGCAATGGCTAAAATGGTTCTAAAACTCAGGAATGCTGGAAAGGATGTGAATGCAGAGGTACATTATTAAGTATGTGGTGGTCATGCCCATGAGTATCAGATTTTGAAAACAAACCTTTTCTTTCAGTGTTGGGCTGGTTACTCTGAACCTGGTGTTGACTGACCAAAAAAAGAGCAGTCCAAATCGCACCCATCAATTCAGCATCCTAATTGTAGTATTCTTATTATGCAGGATTTATATAGTGTCCTCAGTTTGTGCAGCGCTTTACAATATGAGACAAACAGTACAGTTACAATACAATTGAATACAGGAGGAATCAGAGGGCCCTGCTCGTTAGAGCTTACAATCTAAAAGGGAAGGGTCAAGTGGTACAAAAGGTAAAAACTGTGGGGGAAGAGGTTAGGTGTTGGGTGGAGGCAGGATAGGCTTCTCTGAAGAGAAAAGTTTTCAGGCATCACCTAAAAGTTCACAGAGTAGGAGATAGTCGGACAGATTGTGGTAGGGAATTCCATAGGATGAGAGAGGCTCGGGAGAAGTCATGCAGGTGAGCATGGGAGGAGGTGACCAGGGAGCTAGAGAGCAGGAGGTCTTGGGAGGAATGAAGAGTGTGATTTGGTAGGTATTTTGAGACTAGGTTAGTTATGTAGCTGGGGCTGAGTTGTGGATGGCTTTATAAGCTGTTAGTATTTTGATTTTAATTCGTTGGGTGAGTGACAGCCAATGGAGGGAATGGCAGAGAGGGGTAGCAGACCCTGAACGGTTGGTAAGGTGGATGAGTCTGGCAGCAGCATTCATGATGGACTGGAAGGGGGGGGTAGCTTATGTACAGGTAAGCAATGAGGAGGGAGTTGCAGTAGTCAAGGTGATAGATAACCTGGGAGTGAATTAGGAGCTTTGCGGTGTCCTTGGTTAGGAAGCAGTGTGTTTTTGAAATGTTGCGGAGGTTGAGACGGCAAGCTTTGTAAAGTGATTGAATGTGGGGCCGAAAGGAGTGTTCAGAGTCCAGGATTACACCTAGCACCCTGGTATGCAGGGACGGGTTGATGGCTGTGCCACTGATCATGACAGAGAAGTCAGAGGAAGGGGCACTTGGGGGAGGAAATATTGAGCTCAGTTTTGGATAGGTTGAGTTTGAGGAAGTGGTGTGACATCCAGGCTGATATGTCGCTCAGTAAGTTGGTGATACATGAGGAGACTGTTGTGAGCTGAAGGGTTGAGAGATAGATTAGGGTGTTGTCAATGTAGAAATGATATTGAAAGCCATGGGAGGCTATCAGCTGACCCAGGGAAGAAGTGTATATTGAATAATAGGAGAGGTCCAAGAACAGAACCTTGGGAGACCCCAATGGAAAAAGGAAGAGGAGAGGAGGAAGTAGAATTGTAAGTGACACTGAAGGTGTGGTAGGATGAGAACCAACAAAGAGCACAGTCACGGATACCAAGGGAGTAAAGTTTTTTTTGAGGAGGAAGGGGTGGTCAACCGCATCAAAGGCAGCTGAGAGGTCCAGGAGTAGGAGTACAGAATATTGTCCATTGGTTTTTGCTGTCCACAAAAACTGCTCTCCTAAAACTCACAAATTTACGGAGTGTTGAGGACGAAATCAAGGGGATCAAGAATGTTATTCTTGATGAGGTGGCTGCTCAGTTGGTTATAGACCAGGCATTTAAGGAGTTTGGAGGAAAAGGAGAGCAAGGAAATGCGGCGTATGTTGTTAAGATTGGTGGTGTGGTCCATTGAAGGCTTTTTAAGCATGGTGGTGACTAGTAAATGCTTTAGAGTGTTGGGAAAGGTGCCAGAAGAGAGGTAGAGATTGAAGATGTGAGTTAGAGCATGTAGGATAGAGCCAGAGGGTGACTGCTGTATTTGAGAGGGGATAGGGTCCAGGGGACAGGTGGTTAGGTGAGTGTTAGAAAGATGTTTAGCAACCTGATGTCTTCAACTTCAAGCTGACCTCAATGCACTGTTTAATTGGGCAACTATGTGGCAAATGAGTTTAATGTTGATAAATGTAAGGTTATGCACTTGGGGGCTAAGAATATGCATGCATCATACATACTAGGGGAGTACAACTGGGGGAATCAATGGTGGAGAAGGATCTGGGGGTTCTGGTAGATCACAAGCTTAATAATGGCATGCAATGCCAAGCTGCAGTTTCTAAAGCAAGCAAAATCCTCTTGTATTGAGAGTTATAGACTCCAGAGAGAGAGATATCATATTACCCCGGAACAAATCATTAGTAAGACCTCATCTGGAATATGCAGTTCAGTTTTGGGCACCAATTCACAAAAAGAACATTGGGGAACTGGAGAAAGTACAGAGAAGGACAACCAAACTGATACAAGGCATGGAGGAGCTCAGCTATGAGGAAAGATTAGAGGAACTGAATTTATTCTCTCTTGAGAAGAGGAGATTAAGGGGGGATATGATCAACATGTATAAATACATCAGTGGTTCATATAGTGAACTCGGTGTAGAGCTATTCATCCTGAGGTCATCACAGAGGACAAGGGGGCACTCTTTACGTCTGGAGGAAAAGAAATGCAATCTCCAAACATGGAAAGGTTTCTTCACAGAGAGCTGTGAAAATGTAGAATAGACTCCCTCGAGTTGGTTCTGGCCAGCTCAGTGGATTGCTTTAACCAATTCAATACCGTGCAATTTTACACCTTCCTGCCCAGGCCAGTTTTCAGGTTTCAGCGCTCTTACACTTTGAATGACAATTGTGCGGTCATACAACATTGTACCCAAACTAAAATTTTATCATTTTCTTCACACAACTAGAGCTTTCTTTTGGTGGTATTTAATCACCGCTGGGGTTTTTATTTTTTGCTAAATTAACAAAAAAAGACCAAAAATTTTGAACAAAACACACGTTTTTCTTTGTTTCTGTTATAAAAGTTTGCAAATAATTCTTCATAAATTTAGGCCGAGATGTATTCTACTACATGTCTTTAGTGAAAATAACCCAAATTAGGATGTATTTTTTTAGTTTTGTAGGAAGTTATAGAGTTCACAAACTATGGTATAGATCTGAATATTGATCAATCCTGAAGTACTGACAGCCAATCTAATTTCTTGAGGTCCAAGAATGTCAGAACAGTACAGATATCCCCAAATGACCCCTTTTTGCAGAGTAGACAGTCCGACGTACTTCATAAGAGGCATGTCGAGTTTTCTGAAGTTGTATTTTGTTTGTCATTTTTCGGAAAATTGAAAAATTTCAAAAATTAGTTTCACTATTTTTTTTTTTTTTTTTACATACTGTCACAAGTGCAGTACAGCATCATCATATAACTGGCATGGCGGTGATCAGGGACACTGACTGGTGACCGTATGAAAAAAAAAAAAATATATATATATTTTTTTTTAATTTTTTTTTTGATTTTTTTTCATATTTCACTATGACCAAAGTAGTACAATGTTACCATAGTAACATTGTACTACTTTGGGGAAGTGATCAGTATTTTTTTTTATTTATTTTTTTTTATACAATTTGCTTATTGCAACGAATTACTTTGCTATAAGCAAGCATTTACCTGAATGACATCGATTCATTGAGGGTTTTTTTTTTTTTTTTTGTGCTTAGCTGTGATTTGGCCACAGCTAATCACATGACATGTGCATGTGATTAGCTGTGACCATTCACAGCTAGACACTAGTATACAATGGATGGCATGAATGAAGCCAAATGGCGTCCACCCGGAACGCTGATGACATTTGCCGGCCGTCATTCGGCCATAGTGTGGGCGGCAAATGGTTAAAAAAGGCCTGGATTCTTTCCTAAATACACAGAATATAACTGGATACTAATATTTAAAGTTGATCCAGGGAATATCCAATTGCCTCTCGGGATCAGGAAGGAATTTTTTTCCCAGCAGAAGCAAATTGCATCATGCTTTGCTGGGGTTTTTTTGCTTTCCGCTGGATCAACTGTTGGTAGAGGATTATAACTTTTTTTTTTTTTTTTTTTTAATGGTTGAACTGGATGGACTTTTGTCTTTTTTTCAGCCAGACTAACTATGTAACCTCTTCTGTAGTAGCAGGGTTGATTAAGCGTAATGAGCGTACCTGCAGACATGGGGTCTTAAGTGGGGGAGTTATCTGTAGAGTGGAGATTTAATTACGATTTGCCTCGATCTTATTTTTGAAGTGATTGGCGATCTTCTGATCATTGAGTGAGTTTGTGGGTGGAGAGGATGACGAAGAAGAGCGTTAAAGGTAGGGAGGAGTTGATGGTGATTGGATGGGAAGGTGTTAATGAGAGTGATAAAATAGGCCTGCTTGGCAGTGTGGAGGCAAGAGTTATATTTTTTGAGGGCAGTTTTATATTGATTGAAGTCTTTGTGATACTTCACCTTACTCCACAGACGCTGAAGAGCTCGGCTGCGTTTTTTGAGACTTCTGGTACTGTCTGTTTGCCAGGGTTGTGGGGGTCGAGGTCTAATTGTGTAGTATAAGGGGCACGTTCGTCCAGGGTGCAGGACAGGGATGTATTGTAGACAGAAGTGGGTAGATTGGGGCATAACAGGGGTGAGATATTGTCATAGAGGTGGTCACTGGTAGTTATTGTACGCCAGTGTTTCTCAACTTTTTTTTCAATCACTGCACCCTTTAAAATTCTGCACAATCTTGAGACACACATTACAAGATGTAAAAAAAAATAACAGAGTTTTCCAGAAAGCAGCAACATCTGCACATGTGGGACACCCAATGTCAGAGGTGATTTATTCTTTGAACACAAATACACCTTTGCACACTGGTACTGACTAGTATTACATTGTTTCTCTTCTCCCTCATTTTCTCTCTCTCACTGAGCTAATGTGACCCCAGTGTTTATGGAGAGGGGCAACTGATGACATCATTGGGTTTTTTTATGTCAGCGGCAGCGAGAAAATTGTAATGGTGCACAATGAAAGCCTGTGGCTTTGTGTAACTAAAAGGCAGGCTTGATCCACCTGCTGGCTTGTATACAATTTTTGGGCAATTTTTGACATTTTGCCAAGGCTCCCTGAAGGCACCCTGGTTGAAAAAGGCTGTTGTGCACTGCTCATTAGCTCTGCTTGATCTTTTGTTGACTTTCATTATTTCTTACAGTACCCAAAAACAAACTTGTAATGACTAATAGGTACACGCATTTCCATGTACCTGCAATTTTACTTGATCTCCTGACCCAGTTTTACGATTCTCACCTCCTCCCCCCATCTCCTTTAATTACCTGGTATGATAGGCTTCTCTTCCTGTTATCTTGCTGCTTGTACAGTGTATTTTCCTACCTTGTGATGGGTTAGAACATCGCCTGTACATGTTTTACAAAACTAATAAAAATCGTAAGTTGAAGGGAAAAAGACATTCCTGCTGCCTGAATTATGTGTGTGTTTTATTTCAGGAATGGAGGAAGCGGTGGCACGCAGAAAGCACCAAGAGAAGAACCTGTAATAGACTACTTTGATGTGCAAGATTAATCATTTCCCTGCTGAGCATCATAATATAGAAAAGGGTTTGTGAACCTGCGCTTGTGGCTGTAAAGCTGTGAGGTCTTCACGTTGAGCTTTTGGTAGCCACTGTCTTGTTATACATATGTAAGACACTGCTAGGAAATTGGCACAAAGCAACACAACTTGCAGTCTGAAATAAACTTCCACTATACCATTCTAGGGTATCCTTTCCATGATTTAATTAGCCATTTCAACAATGCAATATGTACATTCTTTGTGCCTGAAGTTTTAGACCGACGTTTAGGCTGATGATGGGTTCTAAATGGAGATTGGATTGCAGTCATTCTAAACAATATGAATACATTATTTAATTCTTTCATGCCACACTAAATGTGTTCAACCAATTTCAACTACCTATAGTCCCTTTTAATTGCTGCAAAATCCACCGTTTTACCTCATGAAACAATGTATATGCTTCTGTATGTAGAACTGAAATATTGCTGTATCTAAGGCCAGGGGAGCTAAAATACCTTGTAGGCAGTATTTCAAACTCTCATCTTTAGTAATGGTCCATGTTAAAACACCTATGCATCTGTATGGAAGTGTAAACCACATGACCTGTTAGTAGTACTTAGAACTGGAATGGGAAAGTCTGGTGTTGGGTTTTAGTGTCTCTCACACTAAAAGTTGTTGCTAATTGTTTAGATCACGTAAATGCTTTAAGCAGCGATGCAGCGAAGATTTTATGCTGCATAAGTATTATTAATATCCTATGTCGTTATTTAATAAAGAGCTGTTATTTTAAAGTCAACCTTTCAGCGATCAGGAAAGTCTGGGTAAGCTAAGGCTGCATTCACACTATGGTGTCCTGAATCGCCACAATTCTGCCAGTGATTTCAAAACGCTCTTCTGAAATTGCAAATCGCGGAACCGCGTGTTCTGGTGCCATTCATTTTTATGGCACATGAAAACATTTGTTTGGAAATTCTTTTGGGCAACATGCTTCAGGTGATGCTGTTTGACGCAATTGCAGCATGATTTATCAATTACAGCAGAAACGCATCGGATTTTTTATGTGCCATTAAAATGAATGGTACCTGAACATGTAGTTCCGTAATTTTGTCATTTTAGCAAAGCATTTTGAAATCCTGCCTGCAATTCATAATGCCATAGTGTGAATAGGGCCTTAGAGTTGCTGGAGTCATAGCCTGCACTGGGTTATAAACTCTCCCGTGTGATTAGCCCATCACTGTTGCGTGGATTGAGTCATGGGCTCCAATAATACTGGGTACTTTCTTCTGCTTCTGGTCCTGAACAGTGGTGGGGTAGTAAAGGATACAGGAGTACAGTATATGATGCTGGGGAGGGGTATGTTGAAGCCAATCTGTTGCTTTGCTTTAGATGATAATTCATAAACCCAATAAAAAGCAGTCAGACTCATGGAAGATGTGGCTACATGTCTCTGCAGCCTGTCAACCACTAACTTCATAGATTGCCATAGAACATGAATTCAACAGTTAAGAAGCACAGGTGATCACAGCGCAGTTGTGGTGCAGCATTCTGTGAACAATAGCGATCTATAACTGCTAGTTCTTACTCCATGGACTCCAATACAAAACCATTTGACAATTTTTTTTTTTTTTTTTAAATGCAGAGTAACTGCTTACCAAATGCCAGAAAAGAACTATAGGCATTCGTTAAGTTTTACATCGAACTGTTCATGAGTGTTAACTCTTTATTGACTATGGTTTTTAGTACCTTTTTAGGTATCCCTTTGGAATTCATAGACTGATTGGCATGAGGGCTGGATGCATGGGCACACTGGGAGGGAATGTTGCAGATAACTTTGTAGAGCCACGCCACTTCTTAGCCATCTGAACAGCCAGGCAGATGTATTGGCTAAGTGCCTCTTTCAGTCTGCATTAATGCAGCTGCCCAGATTTTGGAAACCTGAGATGAACAAATTAACCTGTTCAATCACACTGTCCGTTTACACTAAACCTTTCCCAGCAAAGTAATAACGGTCATTTGAAGCTTGTACATAGTTGGATCACATGCTGGCTTTATATATTTTGGGGACACCATTGGCAAAATATTCCCAGCAGATTGCATAGTCCTGCTATGGCCATTACAAAGTCAAATAATGTCATTACACTCTTCACAGAATAAACAAATGGCTAATCCAACTATGTAGAGTCGCATCTATCATATAACTATATGAAAGGGAGTAAAGACACAAGCTACTGGTAGGAAATCTTTCTACTGAAGGCCACTGTATTGAAACATAAAGTACCAGTTTTTGGTGGAGTTCACCTTTCCTAGTTCTGATCAGTTTTTAAAGTGCTTGTAAAGGCTCAAGGTTTTTTTTTACCTTCATGCATTCTATGCATGAAGGTAAAAAGCCTTCTATGTGCACCAGCACGCCCAGCCCCTCCAATACTTACCTGAGCCTCATTGTGATCCAGCAATGTGAATGACAGCCTCGGCTGTCCCGGGTCTCTGCCTCATTGGCTGAGATAGCAAGCGGGAGCCATTGACTCCCGCTGCTGTTAATCACAGCCAGTCAGCCAATGAGGAGAGAGATGGGGCGGGGCCAATCTGCGGCTCCGTGTGTGACAATGAAGCTGCTTGCAGTGGGGGGCCCCCGACAGGAAGAGCCTGCAGGGGACCCGAGAAGAGGAGGATCCAGGCTGGTCTGCGCAAAACCACTGCACACAGCAGGCAAGTATAGACATGTTTGTTATTTTCCACAAAAAAAAAATGAACCTTTAAAATGGCTTTAAGGCAGAGTCTTCACGAAATGCATTTACATCTCACATTTTATAAATGACAAATACTCCATGCTTGTTTTGCAGTATGTACAGCGGCAGTACAGGTGCTGAACATTTGGTGAAAGCCTGCACAAGCAATGAGTGTCAAAGCCACTGCTTACCCCTTTATTCTGAGGGAACATTGTGCTGTTTGTTGTTGAATAAGAAAGATAGCTCCAGCCAAAAGTTATGTTATGCAGTGGTTTTCCTTTTGTCTAAAATACCTGTCTGTGATATTCTGTTACGTGTCATTGCTTTTTGTCAATGGGCACATTCAGGGTTCATGTTGATGGGTGTTCGTGTTAGGCACTGCTTCCATCTGATAGGAAAAGCCTGTGCTGGACCACCTTTTCACACAGTTCAAACACACCTCAATAGGACATGCTGTGTCCAAAGAAACGCAGAACAATTCAAAGCTGGTAAAATGCAGCCTCTGAACTGCCATGTGTACTGCTCAATTAAAGTCGAATTATGCTGAACTGCATTTGGTGTGCACTTCAAACACAGGTAAAAACTGGAAAACAATGCCTGTCAGTGACAGCTCTTTCTGTGGGATTTGGAAAGCTCTGATCATTCATACTGATATTTTGTCAGCGTAGATGTGCACGTGAAAGGTGTGCTTTAAAAAAAAAAAAAAAATGTCAAATGATAGTAGATTTGGAATCTCTGACTTTATTTACCACAAAATCAGTAAGCTTTACTGATAGGTAATGTTAATGAGAACCTCCTGCACTCCTAACCAAACCAATAAATAAAATAAACTAATGAAGCTGCCAACATCCAGTCGTATACCTAATGATAGAAGGACAGAATACACAATAAATGATGTAGCGCTATCTATAATAAATTATCCATACATACCTGAATAACATAGCAAGAACTCCAAGATGAATAAAGGGGAAATTCAAAATATAAAAAATGAAAAACAATGTGTTACCTATGTGACTTGATCCACATAAACTCCAAACAATACTATTGTGGTGTCTGAAAGTGACTTGATCCTTCAGGGATTAAGTGAAGAAAGTGAATATCAATCCACAAGGTGATGATGAAAAAGTGTCCAAACAATGGTCACATAATATAGTGTGTGTGAATTGATCCTAATTAGGATCTGAAAGTGATGGTGAACATACAAATGGTCCAAACAGGACTAGTGCAGAAAACTCTGTCCAAAATTAGGACTGAAAACAAATGAACAACACATATAAAACAGAAAAAAACGCAGATCTCCCCAATAACAACAACCCCCAAAAACATTCCCTCATGGAAATATAGGCTCAGACACAAAATTGTGTAAACAAAACAGACACGTAAGAATACAGTAGCGCGGAAGGGAATATCACTGCAGCAACATCGCTTGTTGGTGGTTGATCTTTCAGGGGTGTTTTTTTTCTTTTTTCGTTCAGACTGCTGGGTTGAATGGAAAAAAAAAACTCAGTGTGCTTTTTTGCTTTAGACCTGTTATTTCCTGGCTGTTACAGCCAGGGAAGAAGCTAACCAAGCACGATTTGTGCTTGATTAGCTGCTTTGGAGGGCAAGAGATATCAGGAGTCTAATAGACTCCTGATGTCTCCATAGAGAGGATCCATAATTGCTCAAAACTATTACAAGCCCAATTGTGTTAAAAATAGTTTTTTTTTTATTTTCCTCTCCTAACGTGTAAGAATAAATAAAGTTAATAAAAATTATTTAAGAAAATGCATACATTGAAATGCAAATGCCTGCATATGTAAACAGTGATTGCACCAGAAATGTGAGGTTTTTCTTTGAACTTTGGAAAGAGAACCATCATGTTAGGGCCATTACACCATTCATAAACTATTATTATTATTATTATACAGTATTTATATAGCACCAGAAGTTCGCTCAGCGCTGTACATTACAATGGGGGACAATACAGGAGACAGCACAATAACAATACAATGCGATACACGAGGGGTTCGAGGGCCCTGCTCCTTGGAGCTTACAATCTAGGAGATTAACTGTAAACCTATAACCTGTAATGGTTATGGACAATTTTAGGTATCATAGTTTTTTGCCTTTTCATAGATGTGCACAATTTTAATTCTTGACACGTTTGGTATCTATTTACTTGATTCAACAACACCTTTTATATTTTACCAAAAAATTGTGTATTACGTTAGTGCGCACAAAACCTTTTAATGTATTTTCTTGAAAATTTGCATTTGATAAACAGCTGTGCAAATATCGTGTGGC